GATGCTGTTGTTCATGACTTAATAAATGAAGTAGAGGAAGAAGACATGGAACCACTTCCAGAATCTCTTCACAACATCATTCACTATGATGAGGCTGGCAATGACAATACTCAGTCAGCTCATGATATTGTTGAGGCCAATGCTGACAATTGCTTGCATTTAACATCCAGTGACATGATTATACCCACAGATACTGCAGGAGTGAACTATGGTGAGGTACAATCTTCATCCTAATATGTGACCGTAATTGACAAAAGGTACCTTATGGCGGATAGGAAAATTGGTCTTTATAGCCTAAAAAATCCAACTTCCTTAGCTCCATTTATCATAAAATTACTCAAGAGGATGCAAAAAGTTACTATGTAGCTCATAGAAACAATTGTTGACTAACAGAGCACTCACAGGTTCATATTTTTCATTAGAAAGATGAATTTTAAAATCCGCCATAAGGTACCTTTTGTCAATTATGGTCACATATAGCCACATGAAAACCATTGGCCTCCTAACTTGGAGGTGTTGAAGAATCTATGTGTTGATAAACAGCAGAAGAAACGTGGAAGGCCATCTAAGAAACGAGCTTGTTTGTCATTCAAAAGCTATACAAAGAAGCGCCGAACAGAGGAGGAATCTCAGGAACAGTCACAGTTACATGAGCAGCAACCTGTATTGTTAGAGTTTTAATGAGCTGGTTACCATGGGATCATAGTAATTAATTTTACTTGGAACTTCTCATAATTTTGGCCTGACACTGATTAACGCCACTGCTACCAATTTATACCTTTATTATTAACACCTATGACTAGCTAGCATCAACAAAATTTGTCTCTACCATCATGAATAAACAATTAAAGATAAGACCATACAACACGTGTATACAGTTGCCGCTTGCTTGATCATCTTTGAAGAAGAGAAGACGTGATATTGAACCAAGCTAGAAGTCTTGTAGAATCACTCCAGTCCCTATTAAACAGCACGACAACTTCTGGTGCTACAGCAACTTCTAGTGCTCCTCCTGCAGCAGTTGCTACAGCTGCCACAGAAGCCACTACTCCCCTCACCACTCCTGCTCATGCTGGTACATCTTCATCGCTGAGTCCTTATCAAATCCATCAAAATTTCCTTGGATATAAATGCAGAAGCACCTCAAGAAGTTGAGGTGGGGAACTATGTGGAGCAAAGAAAGCGAAAAAATAAGTCTGGTGGGCTCACACTTTTGTATTTCTGCCTGTGAGAGACATGGATTTGGTACCAGGAGATTATACTCTCATGACTGCCAATGGACTTGGTAAGGCCAAGCTTCCTTTGTCAGGGACCAGTACTGCTATGGAGATTCACGTAGCAATTTTAGCTTAGTTTTTGAAATAACTGACTGTGGTGGCTATGAGCTGCTTCGTACACATGAAAATACCAAGAAATTAAATGTGATCGTTCCCCATCCATAGGGCTATACTGGTTTGTTTCTGAAAAAAGTTCTTGGTCAAGCCCATTGCTATATATGCCCGCATCAAAATGATATTGAGCTTGAAGAGTGCCCAGCCGTATCTTATGGTGTAGAGGTACAAAATTATTACTTCTTTTATTGTATCCAACCTCTTTTATTCTATTATGTAGATTCCAGATTCTGTTCCAAGGATTAAATGTGAAGTATGCAAAAAAGCAATGCCAATGATTATGCTGAGGGAACATATGGATAGTTGTCATGAAGAAAAGTATTAACCAATAGAAGTGATGCAATTGTTATCAGGCTATTTTTATTTAGTGATGAGGTAACAATTGTCAGTGTTGAAAAAATGGTAACACAAGAACCAGATGTAGTTGTATGTGTAATCTCATAATTTTTATCTATGTTGTTATTAATATATTTTTTAACTTGACGTAGCAAATACTGTAGATGATTTTTTGCCTTATAATTTACCAATTACACCAGCATATTCTCCAATTTCTAATAAGGTAATAATCAGTTGATCATGGCTGCGGCTGTATGTGCTCACTTGGTTGCTATGAAAAATTAATTTCTTTATAGAGTGATGATAACCTGCTAGCTTTTATGGGCTGTTTAATGAATTTATAAGATAAGGTAGGGTGTTTTGTTTAAATAACGATATCAGTTATGGTGTAGGAAAGTCCTGCTAATGTACATGATGGTGTGGCTGAAGATAATCAGTTAGTGCATGGGTTATGTCAGAATTATGGATATTTTAATAGTTGCTTTTTTATTTGCACTTAAAGGAATTTTACTTCTGTGGCTGATGTTATTATGTTTATTCAGACTAAGAATGGAATTACTGTCAAGGAAAATGATTCATATGATGATTTTGATGATGATATAATGTTGATTGATGTACGGAGAAATTTTTTTATTCAAGACACAATGAGGGAGTGCAGTAAAAAAAATTTAATTCTAAGCAGGTGATAAAGGTAGTCTTGATTTGGTAACTATTTGAGAAATATTAAAAATTACAGGTGACTTATGTTGGTGAAGAGGCTGTGGATTATGGTGGACTCAGACGAAAGGTTTGGGAATTACTGGTTCAAAAGGGATGTCAGCATTATTGTGTTGGAGGAGATAGTGCAGTTACTTTTATTCAAAACACTGCAGCTCTTCAGGTTTGGAACTGCATGTAATCTGTTTGAGGCTAGTCTCTTCTACAGAAATTTGAACTCAAGTTCCTTGGCATCTACACAGCTATGTCTATCATACAAGAGGGTATCGGGTTTTCTGTTCTTCACCCAGCAGTTTATAGTTATATATGGAGTGGTGTTTACGTTGGGGCTATTATATGTGATGATGGAATAATGCAGAGTTCGTTTCGAGAACTTGTAAAGAAGGCAATTACCGTAATGAATGAAATAAGCAGTTGCATATTTTAAAATAGCTGCGGAAGTGTGAAGATGACACTAGTGTTAGGGAAGTGTTCAATGAAACTGAACATCTAGATATTTTGTGTAAAACAGGTAATACCGTTATTATAGTAATCGTGATATTGTCTTTTTCTATGACACCTTTCAGGATAATACTTGCACATCTAAGGTATCTGTGTTTCTTGTCTAATCAACATATGCTTTAAAAGTGCAGTTAATTAAACCACTTGGTCTATTATTGTGTTTGAATGTAATGACTTAGGCAGTGGAAAATATATTCCCATTGTAATTGAGTAGGTCTGCATGTGGGAGGGCTATATAATATGGGAGATGCTTTTGCTCTCCTCCCTTTATCAATGATTGTTTGTTTAGTTCTTTTATTCTCTCAATATACATTGTGTTTTTTTTCATGGTGAAATGTCATTGCAACTCCTGGACTTTCAAGTATGTGCAACAATTTGTTGTCCATAGCTTGGAAACTAAATCATGTCCACTGTGAAGACAAAGAATTAATTTAAAAAAAATAACTCAATTGGCCAAAATAAACCAGTATACATAGTTAACTTCTTTCTGAGATGATTGTGTATGTAAAAAAATTTAAATCTATTTCTATAACTATGCAGGGTACAGGAAACCGATTAATTGTTTGACAATTGGTGATGGTAGTGAAATTGTAGAGATTATTAAATCCCATTGTATAAAAGTCTCTATTCCTGAGATTAACCAATTTGCTGAAGGATTGGTATCTTTAGGGGTTTTGAATCTTATTAAAGAATACCCTAATATAATGGACTTCTTTGCTGAAAATCAAAGAAGACTAACTGCAAGTAAATATGAAACTGTTCATTGTAGGTACCAGTTGTATTTTAGCAATTTTTTGAGGAATATTTCAAGTTAAATATTGTAACAAGGACAGTCCTAGGAGACAAACTGAAGAAGCGACTTATATAATAGTTGTAGATTTTATTGAGAAGTGTGAAGGTATGTATATGCTTTGTAATAAAATTATGTGTGCATAATATTGCCATTATTGTGTAGAAAAAGGAATATGTGCTAATGTCAGTAATATAACCTCTGGTGTTGAAAAATCACAGAGAGAATATGTAACACTTAGGATATCATACTATTTTGCACTGCTACCACTAAAGTTCCTCCAGATGGTTTCTACACAAAGTGTTTTTCTGATGATTTGCTTGCTACTGCTAGTACTTGTGACCTCAAACTTAGGATTCCAACTGCAATTTATGACAATAGTGAAAAGTTTGAAGAAATGTTTGTTTAGAGCTTGAAAAGTCATTTTGGATTTGGAAGAGTTTGACTCATTTAATTCAATTTCTTTGATTATTACTAAGAATATTTAAAAATTCTGTAATTAAAAAGTCATATTTAACTCTGCAGTTCCCACCCCATATAATTTGGTGTTAAGTATTCACAATATTTTTTCAGAAAACTCAATTCTTAAATCTTCAAATTTGTTGCATCATGCTGGAAATTCTCTTATTAAAAGCTGGAAATAAATTTCATTCTTACTAATAGAAATAAAATTTCCTTCTAATTTCAAGTTTAAGCAAGCATGGATGTTAATGAAGTGTTGACCTTACTTGAAGAAAAAGATAAAGATGACAATGCCAGTGTTAGATCTTATAATTCTGAGTGACTGGATATGTTAGAGAAAGATGGAAGCCCTATAGAGTCTCCAGTAGCTTCGCCTGTCGCTAAAGTAAAAATTTATTATTACTAGTCACAGTGTGGCGATTTTTTGATAGACTCCTAGAAAAGAATGTAACTTCAGATGTACTATGGTTCTTTACAAAGCATTTGATATTGGAAAACTATTGTTTGAATCTTCAAATGATTAAAGCACAATTTGAACAGATGACTCCACTAGCAATGATTCTGATTCCGATTTTGACTTGAGTGATCCTGAGGCTGAATTTGTTACAAAGGGGGACAGTGATGGAGAGCGATGATGTCAGTGAGAAAGAAATTACTTCATTAGAACCCCCTGACTGTCAGTTTTATTGGTTATAGCGGATGTGGTAGTAGAAGAGGTTGTTCACGAGGTAGAGGTGAACGCACCCGTGGTAACATAAATCATGGATTGCATAAGCATGGTAGAAGAGTTCGAGGAAGAGTTAGTGATTCTCATTTAGATGATGTTGTCTCACCACTTGACATGCATGACCTTTTAGATGTTGATCAAAGTGCTCCAAAGAAACATGACTTTAAACCTTCAAGAAACATTGGAGCATTATTACCAGCCTCAGTAAATGCCTCGTCACCTGTTGACCTTTTCAAGCTTTTTTTAATGAGGTTATTGTACAGAATATTTGTGACGCTTCCAATGAGTATGCTAAACGCTAGAAAGACAAAAAGGAAACCATGTATTGATATTTCCAAAAAATGGTTCCTGATGATTTTTATGCTTTCATTGGAATCTTCATTTATTTAGGATACCGCAAAATACCACGTTATAGATTGATGTGGAAACTAACCAGTTTATGTTACGATCTAGTAATATCGGAAGTCTTTAGTCGCAATAGATTTGAAAGTTTTTTGGCTTTTCTTCATGTAGTTGAAGACACCGAAAAGAAGCTAATAGGATTTGGCGACAAGTTGTGTAAAGTTCGTCCCCTAAATGACCACATAATGGAGAAGTGTCAAGAGTTGTATCAACCTCATTGTGAACTAAGCATCGATGAGCGAATGGTTCGGTCCAATGACAGATTCTATTTTCGTCAGTATATTTGAAACAAACCGGTAAAATGGGGTTTTAAGTTATGGTGTTTGTGTGACTCACACCATGGCTATAATTTGTCTTTCTCAGTGTAACAAGGAAAGAACTGGAAAGTAAGATCATCAAATTGCCTGGGTTATGATGTAGCTATGAAGCTGATGGAGGAGTCTTTACTACAAGGTTAATGTCTGTATATTGATAATTTTTATACAAGTCCTATACTTGTTTCTGATCTGTTTGATCTCAGTGTACATGTCACTGGAACGTTGGACACTTCACAACTTGGTGTTCCAACAGAAATAAGAGAATTGAAGAAATATTGACGAAAGCCTGTTAAATGTGGTGAGGGAGAGTACGTTAGAGATGGAGGGGCAAAGTACTTGGTATGGAAGGATACCAAATGTGTATCAGTTATGTCAAGTGATTACACAGGTCATTCTGAAACCAAAGTTAAACGAAATGTAAAAGTTAATAGAAAAAATGCAAAGATAGAGGTACCAATTCCTGAATTTGTTTATTATGAAAATCGCTTTATGAATGGGGTGGATAGGTCAGACCAACTCATTAATAATTACAATGCTATTCAGAAAACTCACAAGTATTGGAAGACTGTCTTTCATTACATTGACATCAGTATTGTCAATTCATACATAATGTACAAAGATTTGCATCCTCAAGGGAAACTAAAGCCCAACATACACTACAGGCATCATGTTGCTAGCAACTTGTTGAAAGCAACATGTTGCTTCTTAGCATGACAATACACTATTCAATTTGTTGTTTGAATAGTTAAATAACACCAATAGTTATTTAGCAGTATTAATAAAATGGTGTCAAGAAGAGTTGCAGCAGCTGCTTGTATCATAGCTATTTTAATAGCTAAAAGGTGCAGAAAGCAAAGAAATAGGAGAGTTTGGACTAGAAAATGGATATTGAATCGTAACAACTATGGAGCATATCACCAGCTATTAAAGGAACTACAAATGGGAGATGAATCAAGCTACAAAAACTTTCTGAGAATGGATATAGATTCCTTTCAGTCTATTTTGGCAGTGATTGCACCAGAAATAACATATAGACACACTCACTTGCGCAAAGCAATTCCACCAGGAGAAAGATTGGCACTAACATTGAGATTTTTGGCTACAGGTATGATGCATGATATCAGAGCTGCATGGGTTTCAGTCAATTCAGTGTAATTTACCGCACATAGGAGAAAGCTATTCAAGTCTACAATAGGTCTACAGAGTTCTTGTACAAACAATAGGAAAGATAGTCATTGAAACGTGTTTAGCAATAGTTCATAAACTACAACATTT